CAATGAAATTCATTATCACTTACAATGCAACAGCTCTGCCTTTGTTTGACAGAAGGAAAAAAGAGCATTTAAGCACAAGGATCTCAGACCCAAGACTAAGGTCAGAGTTTAGCAGATAGCAGTGATTCCCTGACTTTTGTCCAAGTCTGCGAAGCATACAATCTGCAGCAGGCACCTCAAAGCACTACAGAAGTATAACCAATAATCACTTTGCAAGATCCTCCACACCTAGTTGCAAGGGGGCATTCCAACAACAACGACTTGTCCCAAGCAACTTGTCCAGTGACAAGACATTAAACACTCAAAGCCAGCTCACATGCCTAACACCAGATTCCCAAAGTAATTTCATTACTCAGAAGTCAGATACAGTCAGAGATTCCCAGGAGAACAGCAGAAGCCCTTTCAGGATGCCAAGTATCTCTGAAAAGGTTCAACATTACTGCTTATTCTTGCAAGTTCCTAGCTTGCGACCAAGCACAATAATGAGTAAAACTAAACGCATCAAGAGATATTATTGTTACAGAGATAGTAGGAACTGCCGATGCTGGAGAATCTGAGATACCAAGGTGTAGAGCTGGATGAACACAGTAGGCCAAGCAGCATCAGAGGAGCAGGAAAGCTGACGTTTTGGGTCTAGACCCTTCTTCAGAAAAGGGTCTACACTAAAGGGTCTAGAAAAGGATCGTGACTGTGCAGACATTAAATGAAGGCATTGGAAGAGTGCAAAAACCTCCAAAACAAAAAAAAATCTATATACCTAAGCATTTAACCACCAGCTGCCCGCCATGTGGCAAATTCTACATACTACATAATAGACTTATCATTTCAGAACCAGCTGGATCAGAGTGGACAGGTCATCTCCACTCCAAAGGGATTGTTTGCAGATATCCCTAGATGGTTACAATGCCCAAGACGGTTTCTTGATAGAAAGTCGTATTATCTTTAATCTTTAACCTGGGAAGTATATGGATATTTTAAAATCTAACTTTGTTTACCAGGCAACTTGAGACTTTGATCTGAAAAAAATTTAGTTTAATCAACCACCCAAACCCCATCCTCCATTTACATCTTCATTTTTTGCCTAAAAGGATCATAAACATTCAGCTTAAAAAGTAGACAAAATTTGAATTTCCAGTTATTTACTGGGGACTAAAGCCACAAGGTTCCACAATTTTCAAATAAACTGAATTAATTTAATAAAAAAAGTCAAAGGAAATAATGTACAATACTGGTCTAATACTCTAAATCCACAATTAATGAGGTTAACAAATTGTGGTCAAACACATCACACTCTACACATTAAAAGGCAGATGCAAGCAGGACTGATCCTATGAATTTCTCAACAACCACTGAGTACAACACTATTTAAAAATTAAAATCACAAACAACAGTCTCAAAATTCCTTTAAAACTCTGTCCACTCAAGGGATTTCAGTTCTTCTCTTTCTAAGATCTAGCCACCAATGTTCCTCAAAAACCACACTCAATTACAACTACCTTGATGATTGCTCACTTTCCAGCAGAATCCCAATGCTGGGAATTGTGTCAAATGCCAGTCTTACTAGCAGGCTATGGCTGCTTACTTGCATAACCAGGTCTCTAGCAGACAGCTTCTTATCAAATCCACCGAGCTCATTAATGCCCCAGGACTTCCAAAGCCAACTGCTCAGCAGCATGGAGCCAGCAACCTTCTCAGTTCCCAACAGGCTGGGGGGCGTTATCTGAACCCAAACAGCATGGAGCCAGCTAATAGCAGTAGATCCGAGTGACCTGTTAAAACACTTCACCAGGGTTCCATCACTATTCTTAAGGAAAGCTATTTTGACATCTAAGACACTTTGTTACCCAACTGTCACTCTCCACATTATACAGCATGGACAAAATGAATTATCTCACAGCTGTTAGTGCAAACATGTGTGGATGTTGAAATCAAAAGTACCATATTAGGATATGATGAAAGCAGCACTTATCTAATCAAGCAGAAAGTCTAGAAAACAGGACCTGTCTGACATTTCACCACACCCTGTCTGCTGACTAGTTGTTTGCGTCCATTTCCTAAGCTATGGACTACTTCTGGTTGGAGGTCTATACAATTTCTCCTCTTTCAGATCTCTTTGCCACTTATAATTTACGAGCTAACTACTTCATATTTCCCCTTCAATTCAAGTCAGTTGCCTTCAAAGTTCACAATTTTCCATACCTCCAAACAATCTCTTTTCCTACACAAAGCTCAGCTTGAACAGATTGTACCTAGGGCCAGACACAACATCTCCACTTCAATATCATATCCACACTTCCACCTAGTATAGTGCATGATCTCAACACTACTGAACACTAAACACTGATGTTATGTAAACACTACTTACAAAATGCAATATGTAACTGTGGTTTTAACAGTCACCTTTGATTCTAAATTAAAAACAAAATGCTGTGGATGCAGGAAATCTGAAACACACAGAATGCTGGAGAAATCACCAGGTCTGGCAGCATCTGTGGAGTTAACATTTCAAGTCCAGTGTGACCATTCCTCAGAATCAGTCACATTGGATTCAACGCATTAACTCTGTTTCGCCACAAATGTTGCCATTCTTGTTGGGTTTCTCCAGAATTCTCTGCATTACTTGCCTGTGGCAGCATCCTCTGCTGTAGATGCAGCATATCTCAGCATACAAGTGTCACAACAATGCATACTTTCAAGAAAAACAAAAACCGGAAACTGCTTTAAAAATGGTGATTTACTTTCACTGCTCTACTGTCTGAAATGCAATTTGACAACAAAGTCACAAACTCATTGAAATCCAAACAACTGCAGATTATTGGCTTAAAACAAGTGAAATTGTGAAGTAAATACCTTGAAATATTAATAAGCATATATTCATTTCCATCAAGTCAATGTTGTGGTGCATTTGCTTTACATTTCAAACACATCTACATCTCTATTTCAGAGCTAATGGAGAAAAAACAGTAATCAACAATGAAGCAAATTGTGGTTGTTGTACAGTTTTTACAGGAATGGAAAGAATCTGGAGAGGGGTTTAACCTTTAGTCGCTTCCTTGTACATCTAGGGATTAGTTAGGTAGAAGGATTCTTAAAGAGATACAAGTGTGCATGAAGATAGTGCACACTAAAAAGATGTTCCGAAGCATTATCAGCAGCTTTTATGCCAGTAACTTTAGTTACAAGAATGTCAATTCTAGGGTGGAACACAAACACTCCCAGTCAAATAACTGTTAATGATGTTTAATTGCCCTCAAAAGCTTTTATATTGGTTTTAGAAAATTCAGATCTGAAGGATTTAGCATCCACACTACTGGTTTTGACTTCTGCAGACTGACAACACACTCGTGAATCCAGCTTATACCTTGGAGTTTCAGATACTCCCTCCAGCACAGAAAACTCGATCTAACAATTGTAAACATTGGCAGCTGGCTCCCAAATACGAAGCTATTGGAACTTGACTTAAAAGGCTAATGCATAAACAAGATTTTTGTAAACACTTACACTGCGATTTATCAGATTTAAACATTCCAAAACTACTTCACAATTTTCTTAGGCATTATACCCATTCACAAAGCACCACAGGACTTCGCCACGTTAAACATCACTGCAAGTCGTTCAATTATTTTGCGGCACCAGGGAAAAAAAATAGCGATGCAGTGAGCAACGCTTCAGAAGCGGATCCAGTTCGTGAAAACTGGTCTCCTAAACATTCGAAAAGATATTTATTTTTTTAAAAAAGTGATCCATCACATTGAAGATATCTTTTAAGGCTGAATGACAATCAAATGCATAATTTCACAAGAGTGGCTTCACATTTCCAAAGATGTCGACATACGACTTACATCCTGCAGAGTTCTTGTCAAGTCGTTTACCCAAAACTACAGGAACATGTGCAACTACTGGAAAGGATTTTTTTAAAAGTCCAAAGCAAACGTAACCAACTTCCCTGCTGCACATCTCCAGCGTTCACAGCCTTTATTTTTAACGGTTTTTTTAAAAAAAAATCAGATGACAAATGAATGAGGATTGAAAAAAAAAATGCAGTTCGTCTGAATCAGCTTCTC